AACTTAGATGTACAGGCAACAGTTGTGTTAAACTGGGGTGCTGGAGGGGGGACATCTTTATTATATTTACCTTTTGATCTCCTTGGATCATCTGTAAATCCCTCAGCGACTTCTCTAGTTTGGATTTTTCATCTAGAGCAGCTGTAGCCTGTGATACATTGAAAATGTAAAACCTCAGAAACATATTTTAATTGAAAACATGAGAAAAATAACCATGGGATTTTTATTTAGATATTTTTTAATACGTAAGTGGCATTAAGTATTGAAGCCTACAGGGAATTTACCTGTGTTTCCACAGTCTTGAGTCTGGCCTTCAATTTTGCATTTTCTTCTTGGAGACAAGCAACTGTCTTTGGGATAATGAAGAAGAAAAAGTTTGTGAACACTTTTGTGCTGTTTTGAATTTTCCAAATATTCCAGGTAAGAAAATACACTCCATAGCTTAGGAAAACAATCAAGCTTCTAAATGCTTATGAAACTGGCCTCCATAAGAAATCAGTAATCCATTATTAATTGTGTTTTCTGCCTCAGTCAGCAAGAAATTTAAGCCTCCAATTCTACTGTAACATACATGATGGTTCACTTAATTGTGGCACATGCTTCACTGAATTGAGATTAGCAAGCTCAGTTTCTTGTTATTATCAAGATTCACAATAAAAAAAATTGCATGTTCAGAAATACAAATCTCATTGCTGCCCATCACTTGTATTTTCAATCAACAGGCAACTAAGAATGTATTCATAGTTCCTGTTTAAAAGAGACAAATACCAGGTTATCATGTTCTGTGTCATAAGAAATAACCATGTTTTATCAGAGTAAATTCACCATATAAACTTTGAATTATTTCTGAGGAGAAAAAAAAAAAAAGACATCAGATGTACATATTCAACAAAAACTGTTATAAAACAGATTTTGAAATTATTTTTTAGAGAACTACATTGATCTGTAAGTAAAATACAAGTCTGAATCCTTGAATGCTTTAGTTAACGAGCAACAACAATTTGATTCAGATGCTGTACTTGACAGATCATTTTGGTAATGCAGGCTAGAAGACAGAAAACACAACTCCTCACTAAATTTCTTGACTGCTCATAACTTAAAAATGTATTGTAAGAAGTGTGGTATTTTTTAGAAGTTCAGTTGAACTAAATGAGTTCAATACCTAATAAAAACTATTGCTAACATCAGACACTAGAATGTGTTCTGTAATTCTGAAAACCTTTAGCAAGTGAGAAATCAGATGTTTTCAAAAGTAGTAAATTCCAACTTCTTTCAGTGCGTGTTTCTTTAGGTGGAATTTAACCAACTAACAAAAGAAAAAAGACTGAAATGTAATAGGATTGACTTTGAGTGATATAGAAAATGTCTGATAAGATAATCACTTTGGCCAGCTACATATATTAATTTATTTCCTTGTTGGAAAGCCAGACAGCTGCAAGGAACAAACTTAGTACTGGTTTCTACTAATTTACCTAATTAAATGGAAAAATAAATAATTACAAAGGCCAAAATATCTTTGCAAAAGGAAGATCAGTATTGCAATACATGTTAGAGACCATAACCACACAATAAATTTAAGATGCTTTACAATATTTATTAATTTATTATCACTTTACTTTGCACCCTGGGGTATATTATCTTGATGTCTATATAGGGACAGGCACAGTACACAACTATGACTGTACAGCTATCCAGTTCAGGGCAATAAGCAGGATGGTCATTAGCCACAAACAGGCAAGTTCTTACCTTGTTTAGCAGCTCTGACCCACCCTCATTTAATGGAGCCAGTTTTGGTTTAATGAGATCTGCACTGGGCTAAAGAAACAATAAAGGTAAAAAATTAAATTATACAGATTTCTAGGAGGAGGAAGAGTCATTTAGTCTGTAAAATAACTATTGATAGTCAATTTAGCTTTCTTTAGTAAAGCAAATGAATAACGTTTTATTTCAAGTACCTTGGCTCCTAGGTTATATACTTCACTTTCAGCTGAAGTTAAACAAAAATACTTCATAGAGATATAAAAGAATTGCAACCTTGAATTTACAAAAGGCTACTGATGCTGCAGCAACCAAAAGAGTAAAGAACACAGAAAAAATAATTGAGTGACTGTAAAAAATATTTACACAGCTCAAAATAATGTTCTTATTTTAAGTATTCAATATAATATATTTTAACTAAACATACATTAGGCTACAAACGAAATAAAGTGTAAACATAATAATACAATATAAACTAGAGTCATATCTGTATTGTGGAATCTTCTCAGCTCTTGACTCCACAGTGGGACAAAGCCTTGGGACATGTGAATGTTCCAGTGTTACCCCAGTTTCTAGGGGAAGGGAGCCCAGGAGCAGGTGCTCCAGCACATTGCTGGCCTGGCTGACTGTGGGATGAGGATTATAAAGCATGCCCTGGGTGTGCAGAATCCACAACCTGGAAACAGCCAAGGCAGTTCAGTGTAAGCCCTGATGCCAAACTGAAAAATGCTACTTTTTTGGAGACTTTCAAAAATTGTTTTGAAAAAGTATGGAGTTTTTGTTTTGTTTTTCTCTCTTAAGCACAAAGAATCAGTACTAAGTATTTTAAACATCTGTCATGACTCCATGTAACATTTGATTATGATTTGATTAAAACAAAACTCTACCTTCTTGTTTGAAGATGTAAATTCTGACTTTTCAAACTCAGCAACCTGTTCCAATAACTCTCTTGAAAAGAAAAAGAAAAATAAAGGGAGGCATTTATTTACTAAAACAGCTATGCTACAAAACACATTTTACCAGGCTGATGCTGTGCTCTTTATTGCATGTACAAAATGAAGTCCTACGCAAATACAACATGACAGGCCATGTCATGCAATGGTATGGTATATGCATTAGAACTGTAAGATTTAGCATCCTTGATTACAATATAATCTACTTAGACAACAAAGGCTTTTTAATCAAATCCTGTCACCCGCTCTTAACTGATAAATTCAAGTAACAATAGTACCAATAAAAACATCTTCCTGACAAATTTGAAATTATTGCGTTATCTTGCTACTTTACAGATGGAAGACTTGAAACTAACCTGTCATCAATACAATAGTAAAAGAATAGGCTTCTGTGGTTTGGAAAAGCATGCAAACAGTGAACACCTTGAAGTTTTCTTATGATTAAAAGACATTCTGCATAGTACAAAGCGTGTTACCGATTCTCCAATTCAGAGACGTCTGTCTGTAGCTTAAGGTACCATTTCTCAGCCTGCGAAAAGAGCTGCCGCAGAAGTAAAACGTTGGTGTAAGTTGTGTTTATGAGCTCTGACTCCACTTCACTGTGTACAATAGTCTGCAGACCATCCAGCATGTCTGTCACCTCATCAACTGTGAAGGTCTCCTCAACAAGCCTAAACAGAGCAGTCAAGGTGAGTTATGTATGATAAAGGTAACAATTTTACATTGTTACGAGACTTCACTGCACAGGTATCGCTCTTTTATACAGCAATGTCCTTCTGAAACATCCACTTCCAGTAGCTATTAGATGACCATGGCACTACTAATTGCTTATGGTATCTAAATTTTCTCTTGGAAACATTACAATCACAAATACTACTTCCACTACAGTATTACATCAAATTTAGACATCAGAAGCAAGATATAAAGCAATGTCATGCTGTCAATATCTATGTTAATTCCTAAGAATTGGCATAACAGGTTCAAAAGGACTTCAACATTTGGAAAATTATTGGGTCTTTCTTCCTCACTAAGAACATACAAATGTAAACAGAGAAAAGTTACCCCATAAAGCATTTAAACCTGCAATTGTTGCTAGCATATTTTGCTTTATTCTTGCTCAGAACTGCCCCACCCCACCCCACCCCTGGTACCTGCTGTCCTTAAGGTCCTGAAAACAAGAATCCACTGTTTTGAGACACAGGCCTCGCTTGAAACGAGCAAAGCGCATGTAGTTGATCACTTCATTCTGGTGGTGCTCGTTAAGACCCAGCTCTGCCTGCGGATAAGGACACAAGCACAAAGATAAGCATACACTGAAATAAGTAAAGAGGAGCATAAGTGCTATGAAGACTCGCCTTCTGAGTAGTTTCTGTGCTTGCTTTCATAGGGTTTCCATTTTAACTAGTGTGTGAAAAAACAACCATCGTTTGGTATTTGTAATCCCTATATAACACATGTAAGTGCCTCCGCTTTAAAGGCACCAGTACTTGGAACCAAGTCCTCAAGTGACCAGTATCCTCAGAAAAGTCACACAGAATCAGACAGAGACAATCAGAGAATCAGAACCAGAAGGACTGTAGGAGAGAGGAAGCTCTTGCACAAATTTGTCTTTGTAATACATGTACATGTGTATAATGTACCTGAATGATGTTTCCTTTATAGATGTACTAACAAAAAGACATAGGAAAGCACATCATGTTTCTTTGTTAGCTTGTATGTAAAATCTTAACACTTCCCATAATAATCTCCAATGAGAATGTGAATTTGTTTCTCAACAGCCTATTGACCAGAAACAAATATTCCCAGGGCAAATTAAGAAGGAAGTATTTTTAGGTCTGGCAAACTAGCCCTTCTATGTTTGCATCCAATTCAAAAGAAGGAGTATTTGCATGGGCAACTACAGCAGAATCAATCTTGCCCGTGCAGGTAGCACAAGCTACAGGGAGGCACAACAGGGCATGGATGGCAGCTTAAAATCACAGTCCCTGGAGAGCTGATGCAACCAAAGGTGAAGTCCAGTCCATTTACCCCATGTACTGAGTTAGTATGGCTGATGCTGGAGACAGCAATGTAGCAACACAGAAAAAAAACCAGTTAAACTGATCACCTTGTCCTTATTAATCCAACTGTGTAGGGTAGCTCTGGTTAAAATGCAAAACTACGATACCTACATCAACAATAGTGAACAGGGGAGCAGAGATTTCAACTGTCTGGAAATTACAGGCAGCCTGGGAAACAGCAACAGCAGTAAATGTGAGACAAGCTCTGCGTGGCTCGTCTGCTTCAGGCGGCTGCAATCTGCCGCCTCCCACAGAGCCCCACCGCGCACACGAGAGGCGATACGGAACGCGCAGTTCGTGGTCTCTTTCCTGCTGCGGGGTTTTCTCTAGGTGAAAAGCTTCTGTTCATTACAGAGAGGAAGGAAGGCGTGTGCCAACGCCGGTACCGAAACCCGACGATCCAGAGAGCTGCTACAAAAGGACGTCACGCTAATAAATACATATTTATTATCAATAAATAACCACTCGTGATCTCCAAGCGCAGTTCGGCAA